AATAGCGCTTTCAATTGACCTCTGACCTTTGCCTCCTCCATGCTGTTTTCTTGAGACCCATAATCTCTACATCCGCATCAACACTGCTTAGAACAACATGTCGTAGCCTCGAATTTGACCCTGAACAAAAGTGGGCGGCCAGAAACCGACTGCATGACTACAGCACTAATTACACACTCTCCTGGTCGCCGCAGTAACCTCAGGGAGTGACAGGTGGACACAGCCAGACAAAAGGCCAATGACCAGAGAGAAAGACTAGGGCCTTTTATAGAAAGACCGGACACCAAGGACAGACGCTTTGGCTTAATTCCTGTATGTATCATCAGATTGTGTGTATTAAACACTCTGCAAAGCACACACTCTGCTGCACTCGGTGGGATGGTTTGATTATTAGCGGGCCAGGATGTCAGGAAATACTGACAGATGGACAACTAGGACAAAACACAGCAAACACCCCTCAGGACCACATAAAGAAAGAGAGTAAGCCCTAAAGTGTTGCTCAGCGGAAGACGTACTCTACACCTGCTGGTAAAATTACAGTCCTAAGGTCCAAATTAGCACACAAAGGTATATTTTGGTCAAGTGAACTTATTCATAAAGAATCAGAGGGTATATAGATGTTACTTTTTAACCCAACAAAAGGCTAATTCAGAAAAAAATAGCCCTATATAAATTTCTGGAAATCGCGAATTATGTAGCTAGAGCTACGTACGGCTGTGTTTCATCTTTAAAATGAACGATATTGGCCGTTATGAAAATCGGAAGAAAAAAATTAAATAAACAAGTAAATATCAGAGTGACAATGTGGTAAAATCTGAAAACGTGGTAAAAAACTGGCGTCTGTGAGGGCTTTTCTTTTTCTGGATTGCTTTTCAAAACACTGTCGGTTGGGTTTAGGGAAGTGAGTGGGCACTGGTCAGTTGGTACTTTTGAAAACACTATTGGTTGGGTTTAGGGAAGGAGCACTGTGGGTCATTTGATCTGTCAGTCAACAGCGGTCTTGAGGATTTATGGGAGAACAGCATGCGCGAATGGTACTTATGAGGGAAATTTGAATTGGGAAATCTCAAAAAGCTTACACAGCGGCCTCTGGTGGATTCGCGAAAACAAAAACAGCAAAAAACATACCTGCTGGGACATATTTGGCGCTCTCCAGAAATGTATATAGTGGTACGTTTTCAGAAAGAGCCTGGGTTGTTTTAACCTATACAAAACTGCAATATGTATCCTGTGTGTAATAAATCAAAGCATTCCTAAAACATGTTTTTGATAAATGGTTCATTACAGATCTGCTTAAAAACCAAGTGCTTTTAGGTATTGCAGAAATGATTCTGATATAAAACTGCTGTCTGTGAGTTTTGCAAAATCGTAAATAAAAAAAAAAATTTAAAAAGCATATATCCTTTTGGACAGGCCAATCCCAGAATGCACTAGGAGCTATAATCCATTCAAAATGGAAAGCTGAGAGAATGAACTTTAAATATGTAATACTTTCTTCTCATTCTTAAATTATTTTTTACTTATATTCATTAAAGAATCCTAAAATGTACCCACAAAATTATTAAGTGGAAGATTATTAAGTGATTTTAACATTTAAATACTAATAAAAAGACATTCTCATATTTCACAAACCTTTTTCACTGTAACATTACTATAAAATGCATCTTTGGTGAGCAAAGTGTATTGATAATTATATTTAAATGTTAAAAAGTTTGTATGTTTACATATTTACAATATTTTATAAAACTCTTAAAACAGTTCAATCTGATGATTTGTTTAACTGCATTATTCCCAATGAATAATTTCAATAATATTTTCCCCATAATTCTTTTTCCAAATAATACAATTTAAAAATATCATTGAATTGTCACAGACAAAAAGCTTTTAAATCTGACGTTAGAAGTCAAAATATTACTTATTTCTGTAGCACTTCCATATCAAAGATAGCATACAGTATCATGTTGTTAGATTAGCAATGTGCTAACATCACTGCTGTATTAACTGCATTATTCCCACTGAATTAATATTCTAATTCATATTTTTTTACTCATATTCTTTCCACATATCATTCATTCATTAATTTTCGTTTCAGCTTAGTACCTTTATTAATCTGGGGTTGCCACAGATGAATGAACCGCCAAGTTATCCAGCACATGTTTTACGCAGCAGATGCCTGGGAAACACTCACTCATTCACACACATACACTACGGCCAATTAAGCTTACCCAATTCACATATACCACAAGCCTTTGGACTTGTGGGGGAAACCGGAGCACCCGGAGGAAACCCATGTGAACACGGGGAGAACATGCAAACTCCACACAGAAATGCCAACTGACCCAGCCGAGGCTCGAACCAGCGACCTTCTTGCTGTGAGGCAATTGTGCTACCCACTGTGCCACCGCGTCGCCTTTCCACAAATAATATTATTTTAAAACATCAGTGTATTGTCACAGACAAAAAGCTTTTATATTGGCTTTAGTAGTCAAAATATGACTTAATTCTGTAGCATTTTCATATCAAAAGTAGCCTACAGTACTTTGTTTTTTAGCTTAGCAATGCGCCAACATGACTGCTAAATTAACTGCATTATTCACACTGAATTAATATTCTCATTCAAATCTTTTCACAAATATTACAATTTAAAAACATCAGTGTATTTACACAGACAAAAAGCTTTTAAATTTGGCTTCAGAAGTCAAAATATGATTTAATTCTGTAGCATTTCCATATCAAAGGTAGCCAGTACAATGTGGTTAGCTTAGCAATGCGCTAACATCAAACTCGATCAAAATCGGTTGTGATTTGGGTCTCTTGTGCGAGTCTCGCTGTTTCATGTGGCATAAAATAGGTATGATTTAGCACATTTCAGATGAGTGTTTCAGACAGTAGAAAAATTACGCCGGCTCTAAAAGGCAGTGTGGTGATAAACAGCCTCTGCTGTGTCTCCAGTGTCAGATTTGTGTTGATTAGCGCTGCAACAGAACCGCCGAACACCCACTACCCACCAACCCTCGCTATAATTCAAAGCGCTCCTTATTTACATTAGACACTACACTACGAGTCTGAATTTCCAATTAATCCATGTAAATATGATGCCTTCTTCGTTCATTTAAAAGCGACAATTACAAAGCGCTACGTCTCGCGGTCTCTTAAAATCTGTCAATCATCTCTTTGCAATAAATACACAATATGAGGTTTAAAGTAATATTGCTGGGGAAATTCAATAAGGCTTGTTGGAGCCCCAAAACACAGTAAATTCCAGCAAGTCCTACAGCTCTGGTCTAATCTAAATACATATTAAACATCTGAACAGCAAGACTAAAAAGCAGCAAGGCTCTACTTGCTTGCCCCCTTTCAAGCTCTTGTACGTTTATCTCTGACAGTGTATAACGGATTATCAAAGTATCCAAAATAATCAAGTCATTATTGAAGATTCAGTTCAATTCAATTCAAGTCTATTTGTATAGCACTCTTCGCAATAGCAAAAGCAGCTTTACAAATAATGCAAATCATTACATTATAATCAAATTCCGAAAAGTTAAGATTATTAGTTACCATAACTGTATTTATTACTAATAACTTAATTAGTAACTAATAGCTTTTACCAGTTAAATGTATTATATATAAACATAGTTGACCTGCATGGTTGAAGAATTACCGGATGGTGTACATTTAAGATGCACGTGCAGCGAGGTTGCAGAAAAAAACAGGAGCGCTAGCATTTACAGCGAGGAAATGACATCCGATGCGGTACAAAGTTTGTTGTTGTCTTAGAAAAACGCTATATTGATTACATATTATACATATTATTTACATAATGCTTTCAATGGATGCCTACAATTTTGTTCTGTGTGGTCATGTGCAAGAAATAATGTTCCATGATTACCAGATTCAAAACTTTGTAATGCTAAAAACCGAGGTTCTGCATAGTCACAGACAAGGAAAGAAGACAAAGCTATACAAGGCCTGGGTAATCATCAACAAGCAAAACTGCATTCTGACAGCGAACTGCACCTGTACGGCAGGGTAAGGGAACTTACATGTTTACATTTCATTTTTAGCATTCAGTGTCCGCAGTTTAATTACCCATATTTAACTGTTTTTGCTGAAATCATTTTTGCAATCAAAAAACGAGTAATGTGTAATGTGTATGATTCAGCATAGCGTGAACTTACCGGATATAAAATAACCTCACTCCATTCAGCTCCCTTTTAGCCAAAGACGTCTGGGGTTGGCATTAAAAGCAGTGTGGTATTGACCTTATTCTCCGCCGACGAGTGGGCGCTGCCATTTGAATCTTTTTGGCTCAAGACTTCCGGTCTCATTCACTTCCATTCATTTTTAGACATTAAAAACTGCTCATTTCGCTGCTTGATGTTGCAATTTGATATTTTCTTGTTATATTATACTACTTGGTCTGTATAGTCATGCAAACATTTGTTTGTAGAGCAAGTAGTTTGACCGTTTTCTGCCGTTTATTATTCCTAGTCATTTCTCCCATATGCGACTGAATCGGAAGTTCTAAGACAATCGCGGAAACAGGCGCACTTCAGCATTTTAGAATAAGGTCAATACGGTAAAAGTTAAGTTTTCTATTTTTGGACTCGAATTTGGCATCCTAGCGCATAACACGACATGCTTGCTATTGCAACCGGTCTTTTTTTCAACCGGGGACCTGTGTGACGTCATGTGTGATGTAGGTTGGTAATTCCTCTATAGTCTAGTACAGGGGTCACCAACCCTGTTCCTGGAGAGCAACCTTCCTGCACATTTCAGTTGCAACCCTGACCAAACACACCTGTTTGTAATTATCAAGTGCTGCTTTAGGTACTATTAATTGGTTCAGGTGTGTTTGATCAGGATTGGGACTGAATTCTGCAGGAAGGTAGCTCTCCAGGAACAGGGTTGGTGACCCCTGGTCTAGTATATAGATGATGTGTACATGTTCAACGAAGTGGATGACAGGAAGAAAACTTTTATGTGTTTGTGTTGCTCACCTGAGGCGTCCGCGGCTGTGTGAGTGCATGAGGGGCATGTGTCGGCGTCCTGCAAGCACGCTGGCCTCCTCAGTGACGCGCTGGAGGGACGGTGAGCGGGAGTGTGAGGACAACGAGCTGCCCGTGCTCTGTAGACTGCCGTCAGCCGCAGGGTCGATCCCGGAGTGGGCCAGAGGGGGCAGGCTCCTCAGAGACGGCACAGGGGAGTGGGCGTGGCTAGCGTCTGCCACATTGTTCAGGTTATTGTCGGAGGCGGAGCGAGGCAGCGAGCGTGAGGATGTCAGAGTGTCGCCTCCAGTCACGCGCCGGCGATTTGTGTAGGAAGGCGTTTCCCTGAAAGGCACTGGAAAACAGGAAAAGCAGGTGTCAACAAAAGGGCACATCGAAGAGGGGGGGCGTACGTGACAAACTGTCAGGTATAATTAGCATAATTTGTAAATGAAGGGTACAGAAACCTCATCAGGCATTCAAAGAGGTAAACAAAACATGTACTAGAATTACAAAGCACCTCATCTATTATTAATGACTCAAACACACTTCCTCCTGACCGCTAACACTGGGGTCGTTTGATTAGGATGTTTTTTTTTTAAGTGTTTGTGTGTGTGTGTGTGTGTGTGTGTGTGTGTGTGTGGGTTGGAGGGGGGGTGATTATTACACAGCAAAATCTCTTGTTTAGACAGTGGGGGATATTTCTGTGCAGAATTTTGTGGAATGATTTTCAGAGTATACACAAAATATGACTTTTGCTGTTCGTTCAAACTACTTAACTTGGGGGCCAAATTATCCTGTTAGCACCACTCAATTTTGGGGATTTACACCTACCTAAATTTAAATAGTAACAGTTCCTGATTCCAGTAAGCTACAAACACAAACTATGTATCATTGGAGAGAAGACACTTTGAGCTCTACTATGGTAAAAGGGGAAGTTACATGTTAAAAATATAAAAAGTTATACATTATGAAGTTATGAGAAAAAAAAATTGTACTGTGTTCAATATTTGATTTCCATATAGAAACCCAGGAAAACATTAATGTAATGTCCTATAAAAAAAAATGACTTGAAAGCCAAATATTTCATGAGTTTATATTTCAAATTTGATAAAGACAGCATGCAAAATGAGATTGTTTGTTCAATCCACTTTCATTTGCCAAAATTAATAGGTAAACTTAATTCCTTCATGTTGTCCTAACACAAATCGATAGGAATAAAAGAAAATGTTTTAACTTTTTAAGGTTTAAAATGCAAGCAAATTAGAAATATCCCATAATAGAAGCTCTCATATTATATATTGGTCACACTTTTTATGTATAATTCACACTATTAGCAAAACACGACTCAATAAACTGCTAATTACCCGTTTACTAATAGTAACTAAGGAAATATTTGGATTTAGGGATTGGGTAGGATTATGGATGTAAAATAAAATCATACACTGTAAATAATGCTGGGTTCCACACAATTGATTTGTATTGGGAAAACACAATGTTTACTTAATAATTTTTACAAATTAGTTTGTAAAAACTTACAAACAAAATTAGTTACGATTGAACATAAAACAATTTAGTTGTCCCCTTCAAAAACCTTAAGAATTGTGTTGTTTGCTTCTCACAAAATACATCTTCTCTTTTTCAAACAATACAAGAGTCTTTAATGCAAGGCATGGTCGTGGCTAAAAGACTAGTGCTTAACAATTGGAAATCACAATTACACCCTTCATTCCAGAACAGGATTTCTGATCATCTGTTATTCAAACCAGCTTCAAGAAAATTTTTGGCAACTTGTGGTCAATTTCTTAATTCATTTAACGAATCTGTATCTGTATCTGTATCTGTATCTGTATCTATATCTGTTTCTGTATCTGTATCTGTATCTGTATCTGTATCTGTATCTGTATCTGTTTCTGTTTCTGTATCTGTTTCTGTATCTGTATCTTTAGAGCAATTCAGTGACCCCTCTGAGGTATAAGTTCTATACACTCTATTTTCTTTTTTGCTTACCTTTATCGTCCTTTGTATGTCTACAGTAAAAGCCAATGTTTGTTCTTGTTCTATGTGTATATATACAGTTAAAGTCAGAATTATTAGCCCCGTTCTCTCCGTTAAACAGAAATCGGGGGAAAAAACAGGGGGACTAATAATTCAGGGGGCTAATAATTCTGACTTCAACAGTATATATACATATATATGTAAATAAACCTTGAAATAAATTAAAAAAAAAAAAAGAATTGAGTAATTTCAGCTCATTTTAAAAGTAGTTTGAACAAGCAGTGTCATTATTTGCGTTCTTTATAAGTGCTATTGTGCAGTTAATAGGCAGGCATTAAGCTAGTACACACTCAGAAATAAAGGTATACGAGTTGTCACTGGGGTGGTACCTTTTCAAAAGGTACACATTTGTCCTTGAAGGGTCCATGTTGGTACCTCAAAAGCACATATTAGTACCCACAAATTTTAAGAGGAACACTTTTTAGGTACTAATATGTAACCTTGAGGTATTAATATGGACCTTTTAGGTACAAATTTGTACCCTTTGAAAAGGTACCACCCCAGTAACAACTCGTATACCTTTATTTCTGAGCGTGTGCAGGATATAGGTACAAGTTATAAAGTGCATTTATAGAAAAACTAAGGTGATATGTACAAATGGCTTTACTATGAACATTATATACAGGTTGTATTAGGTTTGAACAGATTTACAATAGATGTATATATGCGCAGGTTTCTATTAATAATAAGAAGTGTGCAGATAGATATGTACATAATTACAAATGTATAATAATGGTGTTTCTCAGTCTGCTGGTATCATTTAGGAAATATTACAAAATAAATCAAATAATTTTGACCTTAACTGTATATTTACACACATTTACATGAGTAAATTAACAGACTCGATGATGGAGAAAAAAAAATCTGGTGCAGATTCTGTACGGGTGAGATATTTTCTTTGCACTGAGGGAAGCTAATTGTACACTAGATGGCAATATCTCACCTTTCCTGGATGGAGGTAAAACTGCATCTTCGAGGTAGTTAAAAATGCACTGTGCGGTGTATATCAGGGTCAAAAGAGTTCATATGGCTCAATGACAGCCATATTTAATGATAGAACAAGAGAGGGAGAGAGAGAAACAGAGACAAGCAGGATAAAAGAGTGCACAGCGCTGTCAGCCTGACATATGGTTTGCTGTCAGTCTCATAGCTGATTCTCTCTAATCTCTAATGTAAATTAAGTATTGATCAAACCGCTGTGCTGAACATCCACCTGTCACCTGATCAGATCTGAACAGCTCTCTGCCAATCAGAGGAGGGCATGAGAACAAAAACATGCCATTCAATACAATCTATAACAGTGGTTCTCAACATGTTTTTGCTTGTGAACAGCAGTGTTGTGTTTCATAATTCAGGAGACTGCATTTGTAATTTTGACAGACAGCTGATTCTGTGCAGAGGAGATATTTTGAAAAATGCTGGTTGCTGCTGACTTCCATAGCAATTTATTTACTACATAGTAGTCAATGGTTCCCAGCAACCAACATTCTTCAAAACATCTTCTTTTTCTGCTCTACGGAAGAAATAAACTCACAAAACTTATAAAAATTTAAAACCCCTTGAGGGAGAATGCATGATGAGGCGGTTTCATTTTTGTGTGAACTATCCCTTTAAGAAAAGTTTGTAGGATTTTAGTTTGATGGATCTCAATTCTACCACTTTTCTTATGATTATTTTGATTAAATTAACATATCAAATTGGCTAAAATTACCATATATGTTTGCTGTTCATATATTCAGAATCACTCCTCCTCTAATAGTTTCACCCTGAGAAGAAATCTAAGTCGGGCCTCCTAAAATGGGCTGTTTGTTTGAGCAGAGTAAATACTGCGCTCTGTAGTCAAGCTGTCTGCTTGTTTAAATCCTCTACCCTTCTGCCCATCCATTCAGAGTGAAAAGGCCAACTGTCCAACCCACTCAGGACACACTCACTCTCTTTTCCTCTCTCACGGTGACTGATGGGACGGAAATGAGAGGAGAAGGAGGGGAAGAATGGAGACATTGAAAGAAGCCTCGGCATTAGTGACATAACACCGGCTCCCATCCCACAAACAGTGTGTGTTCAAATATGGTTCAGCACTTCAAAAAAAAATTCATTGGACTTATTACATCTTTTAAAAGCAAGTGGTAAAGTAAGTAGTAACTTACAGTTGAAGTCAGAAGTATTAGACCCCCTTTATTAAATATTTCCTAAATTATGTTTAACAGAGCAAGGAAATTTTCAAAGTATGTCTGATAATATTATTTCTTCTGGAGAAAGCCTTATTTGTTTTATTTCAGATAGAATAAAAGCAGATTTTAATTTTTTAAAAGCCATTTTAGGGACAAAATTATTAGCCCCTTCTCGATATATTTTTTTTCTATAGTCTACAGAACAAACCATCGTTATACAATAACTTGCCTAATTACCCTAACCTGCCTAGTTAACCTAATTAACCTAGTTAAGCCTTTAAATGTCACTTTAAGCTGTATAGAAGTGTCTTGAAAAACATCTAGTAAAATAATAGTTACTGTCATCATGGCAAAGATAAAATAAATCAGTTATTGGCGATGAGTTATTAAAACTATTATGTTTAGAAATGTGTTAAAAAAATCTTCTCTCTGTTAAACAGAAATGGGGAAAAATAAACAGGGAGGCTAATAATTCAGGGGGGCTAATAATTCTGACTTTAAATGTAAGTTTTTTGTTTAAATTTAGCCTATATAAATTGTTTACAACCAGTTACCTTAAAAATTTTTTTTAAATCCAAATAATCTTTTTTTCAGTGTGTTTATATTTGTTTATTGTATTCCTTGCCTGCAAAAACAATAAATAAATACACAAATAAATATAATTTATTATAATTGATAGACAGCCTCTCAGTAGCATATTGAGCTGAGAAAAATATCGAACTGTATTCAAAATGAATAAGTTTAGCATTTTCTTATTCCCCCTACATTTGTCTAATTTGTTTAATTATTTATTTGCCAGCACATACATTTTTTTATGTCTGAATTTGTGAATTTATATATTCATGTATTTATTGTTTTATTTATGCCTTGTGGATTTATACATTTATTTGATTGTATATGTATTTATTGTTTTACAGTGCATACAGAAAGTATTCATAGCTCTTCACTTTTTCCAGATTTTTTTATGTTAGTCTTATTCCAAAATGGACTAAATTCATTTTATTTGATAAAAATTCCACACACATAACCCATAATGACAATATGAAAAAAGGTTTTTTAAAATTGTTGTTAATTTATTAAAAAAAAAAACAACAACAAAAAAAAAAAAAACTGAAAAATCACATGCACATCAGTATTCACAGCCTTTGCTGTGAAGCTCTAAATTGAGCTCAGGTACATTCTGTTTCTACTGATCACTCTTGAGATGTTTCAGCAGCTTAATTCAAGTTCACCACAGTAAATTCAGTTGGTTGGACATGATTTGAAAAGGTATACACCTGTCTATATAAGGTCTCAGGGTTGACAGTGCATGTCAAAGCATAAACCAAGCTTGAAGACAAAGGAATTGTCTGTAGACATCTGAGACAGGATGGTCTTAAGGCACAAGGCTGGGGAAGGTTACAGAAAAAAATTCTGCTGCTCTGAGAGTTCCAATGAGCAAAGTGGCTCGTCCGTAAGTGGAAGATATTTGGAACCACCAGGACTCTTCCTAGAGCTGGCCGGCCATCTAAGTTAAGTGATCGGGGAGAAGGGCCTTAGTCAGGGAGGTGATCAATAACCCATTGGTCACTCTGTCTGAGCTCCAGCGTTCTTCTGTGGAGAGAGGAGAACTTTACAGAAGGACAACCATCTGTGCAGCAATCCACCAATCAGGCCTGTATGGTAGAGTGGACAAACGGAAGCCACTCCCTGCCCTGAATTTGCCAAAATGCATCTGAAGGACTCTCAGACCATAAGAAGCAAAATTCTCTGGTCTGATGAGACTAAAATTGAACTCTTTGGAGTGAATGCCAAGCGTTATGTTTGGAGAAAACCAGGCACCACACCAGGCTAACACCATCCCTACAGTGAAGCATGGTGGTGGCAGCATCATGCTGTGGGGATGTTTTCAGCAGCAGGAACTGGAAGATTAGTCAGAATAGAGGGAAAGATGAATGCAGCAATGTACAGAGACATCCTGAATGAAAACATGCTTCAGAGTGCTCTTGACTTCAGACTGGGGCGACGGTTCATCTTCCAGCAGGACAATGACCCAAAGCACACTGCCAAAATATCAATGGAGTGGCTGAACAACAACTCTGTGAAGGTCCTTGAGTGGCCCAGCCAGAGCCCAGACCTAATTCCTATTGAACATCTCTGGAGAGATCTGAAAATGGCAGTTCACCGTTGCTTCCCATCCAATCTGATCGAGCTTTAGAGGTACTGCAAAGAGGAATGGGCAAAAATCCCAAAGACAGGTGTGCCAAGCTTGTGGCATCATATTCAAAAAGACTTGAGGCTGTAATTACTGCCAAAGGTGCATCAAAAATGTACTGAGCAAAGGCTGTGAATACTTCTGTACATGTGTTTTTTGAGTCCTTTTTTAAAATAAATTTGCAACAATCTACAAATGAATCTCAGAAATCACAGATAAAGAAGTATTATGAAAATGTAAAAGTGCAGAATGTTTTCAGTGATGGTTGGACTTAAGGATAGGTTAATATATACAGTGTGTACAGTATATAAAAACATTAAGACTATGGGAAGTCCCCATAAAGATAGCTGTACAAGTGTGTGTATTTGTGAGAGAGAGCGAATGTCCCATCCTTCATCGAGGTCACACAGCGTTCTGATGAGATACCGGAGCCTGCAGCAAGACTCCCATTGGCTCAAATCAAACTCCCAACACCTGCTGAGCCTCAGGGATTAACCCCGCGCTGTAGCCATGACGATGCTGGTCCACATTAATGGGAACCATCCATTACAGCGGCCCGACAACCGGCTGCTATTCCCCGCCAGAACTTGTGTGTGGAATGAGCTAGCCTTGCCGTCGACGCTGGCGAATAGAGTGATGACTCTCATTCACCCGAACGTCACACACACAATTTCACACACACACACTGACACACAAGGGAGCACTCTCATTTTCATGTAAGCAGGCTGTGGCGCTCTGCCGTGTTTATAGGGATTCATTAACATGAGGGATTGTTTGCGCTTGCTCAGATTGGACAGCAGCTAATGATGGTGGCGATATTCTAGACACTTACCAACATCTGATGCTTTGTGAGTCTTTATAATTTCTGCCAGGTCAAAGTTTCCAGCTATAATAGCCACCTATTGAGAAAGAACAAAAGAAAATTGGGTTATTTCTGGGCTAATCCAGTTTGATCTCACGAGGACACGTAAGTATTTTACTTTTTGACAGTTTAGTGGCTAATTCATATGAGTTCAGTCGTACGAAAATGTACGATTTGAAAAAGGAGGCGTAGCACCCAACCCAACCCCTAACCCCAACCGTCACTGG